TATATATATATATATATATATATATATATATATATATATATATATCTTTTTTATCTAATAATAATGTTTTTAAGTTGTTTGTTTGTTCAGTTACATGTTCGTTCGATAGTTCATTCACTGATTCATTTGTTTATTCATTCATTAATTCATTTGTCTATTCATTCATTAATTCATTTGTTTATTCATTTATTCATTTGTTTGTTTCCTTTTTATTCATTCATTTTTTCATCCAATCATTCGATCACCTCTTTTTATTTATTTAAATGTGTCCGTATATGTATGTTTGTATGTATGTTTGTATGTTTGTATGTATGTATGTATGTATGTTTGTATGTGTCCAAAAATGTTTGTGCAATACAGGTGTGCTGAAATGCTGGTGATAAAACATCCATTGGACATTTTCATTTTACATTCATTCATACATACCTACATACATACATGCATGCATGCATTTATACCTACATACATACATACATACATACATACATACATACATACATACATACATACATACATACATACATACATACATACATGCATACATTAATACAAACAAACAAACATACAAACAAACACACATACATACTTGAAACAGTATGTCTCCGGCCAGACATCTTTACTTTTATTATTTTCAGTATCACTTGAAATTTTTTTGTACGAAATTTTTTCATTATTTTTACGTAAAATATTTTTTTTTTTATTATTATTATTTTTGTTATTATTATTATTTTTTTTAAGATTTGCAATGTCGATTAGATCTTGCAGCAAAAAATCTTTGTATTTAAAATTCATATTATCTTTAAAAGCACCACCACCATCTACACCAATTCCACTACTCTTCAACCTGCCACTACTACTATTGTTAGTGTAAGGTGGGGGCAAACTAAAGGGATGTGCTAACGGCAACGATAACCGAGACGATCTAGGGTTCGACGAGTAGTTGTTATTCGAGACGATACTCAATTTTCTCCGATTCGGCATCGTTATCGACAGCCTTCTTTGACCGGAAGGGTTTGACTCGTCGATGTGTTTTGGGACTTTTAAAGTTGTTGTTGTTGCGTTGTTGTTGTTAAATTTATTATTGTTATTATTATTGTTATTATTATTATTATTATTATTATTATTATTATTATTCTTATTATTATAAATGACATCATCGTCGTCGTTATCTATGTTGATGCTAAAAATTTGTTTACTAGGAGAAACTTTATTGCCATGTTTGACGTTCATGTTGATGTCATTAATGTTGTTGTTGTTGATGATGTTTAGTTGTTATTGCTGTTGATGATGTTTAGTTGTCGTTGTTGTTGTTGACGTTGGTGTTTTTGTTGTTATAAATGTTAATTTCATATTAATTATCATAAATTATTCTAACTAAATATCATAAATTATTGTAGTAGTTAAATTTGTTACGTCAACTTGAAACGATCACTCCCATCAATTTATTCTAACTGAAAAGAATTTTCTTCCTGCTTATGCATATATATACATTCTACAAATACACACACTCTCTCTTTCTCTTTCTCTCTCTATTTTTTCTCTCTCTCTTTCTGTCTCTCTCTCTAGGTAAAATAAACCCATATGTGTAGAAATGTGCTCGCATGTGAATGTGTGTGTTTTTACGTGTCTGAAGCAAAGCCAAAAGAACTACTCTTTATCCAGATTTATAAAGTCTTTCTAAATAATTAGGCGCTGCAAAATGAGTCTGCTGCTGACGCTGCTGCAGCCGCTGACGATGATGTTGATAATGATCTAGCACCAGCCCACTTAATCACATTATAAACGGCCTCAATGATTGCGCTATTGTGGACACAAATCAGATAGGATTAACACACGCACAAACACACGCACAAACACACCATTGACACAGACGTAAATTTATTTGGTTTTCTCTTAAATGCTAGAAATTCAACCTTAAAAAATGCCTCCCAGTTTCAGAGGCAAAATGAATATTCTGACATGCTATCTGGGATCGAAAAGCCTCCAAAAATAAAATTTGGAAACTTTTCAACGTAATCAAATCAAGTTAATTATTCGGTAAAAACTAGCACTTAATAGGCTTGGTACGATGCCGACAAACAGTTAGTTCACGGTACATTTTTACATTTAACGCTTGGCTATACTTGAGGGAGACTTAAAAGCTGACATAGCAAGAAGGCAGTTTGCATTATTTTAATAATAATTTTACAATGGCAAAAAATAAAATGTATCATTTTTGTATAAGAATTTCATATACAGTACAGATAAAAATTGAACTGTCGGCATTATTTAAGCTTTCATAAATATTTAAGGATAATCTTAGACCTAATTTTACTGGTAAATATATTTTTCATCTGTCAATAATGAAAATAATAATAATATGGAAACAATAATAATAGTAAAAACGAAGCAATATTAATATCGACAATATTAGTCCCAGAGTTTGATCAGTCCATCCCAGCCCGCTGTGACGACTTTGGAAGTTTCGTGTGGATGCCAGAGACAGCTGGAACAGACGCCGTCATGTGCTTGGAACTTTGTGTACAACTTTGTTGTCTTCCAATCCCAAATGTACAACTTTCCGTCCCCATCTCCGGATATTAAGTAACTCATCTCTGGAGAGAAGTCGACTCCACACGAGTGGCCGGCGACCATATGACCCTTAAAAATTTTCTTCTTCATTCGTTTGAATCGGTTGATGGCATTGAATATGACGATCTGATTGTCCATCGACTGACATGCCAACCATTTTCCATTGGGTGATGGGGTGACAGCTGGCATGGAATGCATGGACGGATCGGCTATGTATGTGAAGTCTACCGGAATATTCCATTCCCAAACTCGGAGACTTTTGTCATCAGAGGTGGATACAAATCTTCTATTCTGATCGACAAAAGTGATGGTGTTGACAGCGCCCAAGTGCCTGTCATACTCCTGAGTTTTCTCTCCAGACCTCACGTCCCAGCAGACAATCTTCTTGTCCTTGGTGCCGGCAACGAAATAGTTCTGCATGTTCTCCTCAGGATGAAACTTTATACAGTAAGGTACTTTCCCATTAGTGAATCGGCTGATGCACTGTCCCGTCTCCGTGTCCCATAGTTTCGAAATCGATCGAAACCACAGCTGAGAAATTTGGTCCCATGATTATCAAAGCAGACATCTCGAACGGCTTCTTTGTGTCCGATGTACGTTCGCACACATCTTCTATTGTTGTACATCTCCCACAATTTGACCTTGGCATCCATACTACAGGTGAGCATGAGGTGGGCTGTGTGAGGAAACCACCTGACAGCTGCCACGCCTTTATTATGGCCAGTCCACGTGTAGAGTAATTTCTTCGGCAGGAAGCACTTCTGAGGTGGTTCTCTACTTTTGAGGTTGACTCCAACATCGTGTGGCTTGCACATGAATGTTCGGCCCTGGTAATCACATGCCTCTTTCAAGTGCAATATTGATTTCTCCTCCGTTGGTTTCAATTCAATCTTCGATCGTTTGTTCAGCTTGCTTAAATATTCATCCAATTCTTTCTTTTCTTCTTCAGTTGGTTTGGCCACGGTAAATTCATCAATGTACTTGCCCCACGGACCCAAATACCCATCAACATCACTCGGGTCATCATTTCTCAACCTCTTTCGTCTATCACCTTCTCGCTTCTTCGTCGTTTCGTAAACGGTTTTGAAGTTACTCTTTTCTGCCTTCTCGATGTTTCCAATGTGCGATCCTGACGCTGCATCTTCTTCAACCACTGACGGGTTGATAGCATAACCATAACTTGTAAATGTGCGTCGCTGATTTTCAAATTGGAAATCATTCACATGGCATTCTTCAACAAAACCAGTCAGCCTGTTCCTGTGAGCTTTCATTTGATTAGTTTTGAATGGATTCTCTGGACCAACTTTTGGTGCATACAATTCTTCATATTTTGGATTATAAAAGAGAACTTTTGTCTCTGGGTTGATTGGTTTGATGTTTGACAAATTCGATGAGGCAGGAGGTGGGGCTGAGCAGACGAGTAATTTCTTGGGCTTGTCTTCGGTTCCAGCGAGTGCTTTGAAGTGAATGTTCACTTCTTCGTTTGGATCGGATTCAGCGCCACTGTCATCAGCGTATCCACTTTTTATTAATTCCAAAGCCATTACGAACGTATTTTTAATTATAACATTTATATTTCAACTTTAAAAAATATAATTTATTTATTCATTTATTTATTACGACAGAAAATATTGAAACCAACACCAAACATATATACAAGAAAATTTACAAGCAAAGATAAATAAATTTTGATAAATTTAAATTTTGATTCAACTATTAATTCATTTTATTTTGTTTCATTGAAATGGTTATCAATATTTTATTATGATTTAAAATAACCATAATTATTTTTATTATGATTTAAAATGACCATATTTATCATCCTCGTCATCATCATAACCATCATCATCGTCATCTTCACAACCATCATCATCGTCATCGTCATCATCATCATAACCATCATCATCGTCATCTTCACAACCATCATCATCGTCATCGTCATCATCATCATAACCATCATCATTATCATCATCATCATCATCATAACCATCATCATCATCATCATCACAACCATCATCATCTTCTTCGTCGTCACCATTCTGGATTAATTTTCCTGTAATCTTCAAGAAAGGCCTGCAAATTAATCATTACCTTCTTCCGCTTACTCCTCGTCGTTATCCTCCTCATCACATCATCATCATCACCACTATTATTATTATTATTGTTGTTGTTGTTGTTATCATAATTGTTGTTGTTGTTTTGTTGTTGCCAGTTCATGTATTGTATCATTTCTTCGTAGTTTACCATGTTGTCCGGAGTGCTGATGCTAATTAGATAATTGATTGATCGATAGAATGAATGAATGAATGAATGAATGAATGATGAATGAATGAATGAATGATGAATGAATGAATGAATAAATGAATGAGTGAATGATTGATTGATTGACTGACTAACTGATTAATTGATCAAATGATTAATTGATAAATTTTTAAAACAGCTTCAACAACAACCATTTAAGAAATCTCCAAACGACATCTTCACTTTGTTTCGTCATCACCTTCACCCTCTTCATAATCATCCTCATTCTTTCAACAGTCACACATCGTGCGCTATATAAATTAGAAATAATAATAATAAAAACAGAAATAATAATAATAATAATAATAACGAGAACTCTCTTTTCCAGACACTTCATTCATTCATTTCAGACAAACATGAAATAGAATGAAGCAAGATCAAATAGAATCAAATCTAATTAAAATCTAATCTACATGGTAAAAATGTAATAATAATAATGATAAGTAATAATAATAATAAATAATAATAAATAATAATAATAATAATAGTGATAATGATTGCAGACAGGTATTTAATATGTACCCATATGTGTCGAAGTGTTTGCATTGGTACAGGATTCCATCGTGATCTTCGAATGAGATTTTCCTCAAATGACATTGAAATTCGTTTATAATTTTATTATTATTATCATTGTTGTTGTTGTTTTTATTATTATTTTCGGCATAATTTTCAGCAGCTGTAACTTTGTAGTATCTGGAGTAATAGGAAGATTAATAATAACGACAATGACTTTGATAACAATAATAAGAAAACAACAACAACAACAACAATAATAATAACAACAACAACAACAATAATAATAATAACAACAACAACAATGACAACAATAATAATAACAACAATAATTATAATAATAGCAACAACAACAACAATAATAATAATAATTCTAACTTTATCAATGCTTTCATTTCAAGTTCAGTAATTTGATTATTATTATTGTTGTTGTTGTTGGTATAATTATTATTATTAATATTATTATTAGATAGTTCCATTATAATTCTCTCAAATTTCTCACTATCACATCTATTCGCGCCCCCCTCCAATTCATCCATAACTCTCTTCATCATAGAAGATGACGACGACGATGAGTTTAACTTTTTTAATATCAGCCGTATGTTTGTTTCTGGGAACTGAAATTTTGTATGTGTGTTTGTTTGTATGTTTGTGTGTGTTTGTTTGTATGTGTTTGTTTGTATGTGTTTGTATGAATGTTTGTATGTGTTTGTATGAATGTTTGTATGTTGTTTGTACGTAACGTAACGATCAACAACAAACATACAAAGATGAATAAACAGGCATACAAAATGAAGATACAAAGAACAAAGATACAACAAACCATTTCCTGGTGCTGAAACATGTTTAATCGTCTGCGTCATGCAACAGAGATACAAAGAAATAATAAAGATACAAAGATACGAATAACAAAGATACAAAAAAAACAAAGATTCAACAAACCATTTCCGGATGCTGAAACATATATTTATATGTGTAGTCATCTGCATCATGTAAGAGCAACCAGAGACCGTTGACGAGAATTCTGTGGCCAACTTTCATGTCCGTAAGTTCGTAATAGTCAGGGAGTTTGTTCAAATATCGCTCTTGACCTGTTTAATTATTTGTCTATGTTGTTGTTTGATTTATTTATTTGTTAGTTCTTTGTTGTTTGTGTTGTTGTTGTTTGTGTTGTTGTTGTTGTTGATGACGTTTATAACCTGGCTTCATAACTTTGGATTTTTCTAAAAATTTTCCGGCTTGCAATCCTAAAATAATTAAATCAATTAATAAGTATAATCAGACAGACAGACAGATACACACACACACACACACACACACACACGCAGACACACACACGCACATTACATCATCCTTAGTTACCAACCGCTGTTCTTGAAAGTCCTTTCAAATACCATCATCTTATCGTCAGCCAAGAAGAATGAAACTACAAACTCTCTATCCGAGTCAATATTATTTTGCGGCTGACTGCCATCTGTCGACGAAAAAATTAAAATTATTACGTGATAATAAACTCTAAATATTATAATTTTATATAAAATTCATCAGAAAATTATTAATAAAGTTAAATATAACCTTTATTAACAATTCTAGCAGCAAATCTTAGTACATTTCCGTTCATACCTTGTCTATCATTTAGGAAAAACCTGATGAAGTCACTTTTTGGCGGTTTAGGGATTAGGGAAAGGGCCGAGTTTAGGCTGTCTTCGTGGCCGCCAAAACCATTGTAGGGGGGGGCTTGTTTGATTGACAGGTTGTTGGTGTTGGCTGGGTCCACGGAAGGTTTTTTTAACGTTATCGGTGTAAAGTTTTCTGCGTTGGTGGGTTGGATGAGTGCATGGATGAACGAATGAATGAGTGAGTGAATGAATGAACGAACGAACGAACGAACGAATGATTGAATGAAAGAAAGAATGAAACGAACCAATTCCATATTTGGTCTTGTAGTAATGTCTAGTGAAGCCATCATAGTCGCATATTAGGAAGGATCTGCCCCACACGTTAACATAAGAGCCAATCATGAAATCACTATCTTTATAATACTTTGAATCACTATCTGCTTGCTGTTTAAAATTAGAACAACAAAAAGTTGATTGGCTGTTTGGTTCATTCGTTTATTTATTTATTCATTTGTTCGTTTTCTCATTCATCAATTTCATTCATTCATTCATTTATTCATATATCAATTCATTCACTAATTCTGCCAACAGTTCTTCTACCCACCCATCATCGATTAATAAGATTATGATAAGTTGGAAATTGTCCGCAGTTGAACCAGCTAACTTTGCCACAACATTCGAACAAGCAGACGCTCTTAACCACTAAGCCACCGAACTTTTACCAAATTATTAAACTCAAAATATAATAAAATACTACCAAGGAATAAACAACAATATCAAAACCTGGGTCCTGTCTACCATGGACCTATTATCTTTGCTCCTATTTTCAAAGACATTCAAAATCACCCGATCGTCGCTCGCCACACCCGGAAGTTGTTTGATGACAGCATCCGGATTTTTAGGCAGTTTTGATCTTTTCAGGAATGTTCCCACCGAATCCCTACCGCAGTTCTCCGCATGGTTCTGCCAGGTTTCACCGGACGAATTTAAATTTATGAATTGGGAGCGGCCACATTTTTTTCAATAATTTTTTGATTTCGATAATAATTATTATATGAAGGTAAGAATTATTTATTGGTACTGTCATTATTATCACTAGTAGCAGTTGTAGTAGTAGTAGTAGTAGTAGTAGTAGTGGTAGTAGTGGTAGTAGTAGTAGTAGCAGTTGTAGTAGTAGTAATAGTAGTAGTAGTAGCAGTGTGGCAGGGCAGTATAAGTAGCAGCAGTAGTAGTGGTAGTAGTATTGAAAATGAAAAATATTTACAATGATATTACCTCGATTACTTCGATAGTATCGTCAGCAAGGTAGTAATTCATGACCATCAATCTTTCGTCGCCGAACACGCTCTCCCTATCATCCCAGTAACAAAAAAACCTCAATATTCTATTTCCGCTTTCCAATTGTTGCTTCAGTTTAAACTTTTCATTTCTTTGTTGCTGGCCGGCTGACGTTGTTTGTAAGTTTGATATCTGCATTGATTGGTTGGTTGATTGATCGATCGATTGATTGGTTGATTGATTTGTTCATTCACTCATTCATTTATTCATCCATTCTAAATAATGATTACCTTTATTAGTAACGCAAATTTCCTCAACAAAAAACTTCACCCAAGAAAGAAACCCACGAAAACGACCT